GTCATTTCTGAGACAAGTAAATACATGTTCTAATTGTTCTTTGGATGGTCTACCCTCCCCGTTTTGAACCGATTGTTTATCATTAACTTCTTGTCCTTTAATGATTCCACCATTTGTGAGTAAAATAGTATTTTGCTYCAAATGATTATCCACARTAGTACTCAACATTTGTTTATTAGAAMASAATCTATTATTATTTACGATATAGAAGATATCTCTTGGTGAAGATTCATTTTCCGTCTTTTTACAATCTATACTAACGTTATATAGCAACAAATTATTTAAAACTGGTTCCGTATTTAAGAACCTACTGTGATTAGTACAGCTCTGCTGTGCTATATGTAGAATTTCATTTTTATTTTTTTTATAACTCTTAATCAATTCTTTTTCCGATTTTTGATGGAATGAATAGACATCTGCGTAAATATCGAAATCACTATCTGTTAATTTTGTTTTTGTATCCACCGAAGTCTGAGGTCCCAAAAACTGTAATATATAATATTACTTACATAAAAGCAACATGTGTGTGTAATATATACAGTATTTAGATTTTAGAATAATGATAAAATAAAGATTGTAAAATTTATATAACTTTGTATAAATTTGTATACAAAAGTAAACTTTTAATGAAAACAAATAAAAAAATTTATGCATAAAAAAATGATAATAAAATTGATTATAATTTAATGTATATAATTGTAGACAATGATGCAACTTCAAATATTATTATTATTCGAAACTTTAATTAAAGATAATTAATAAAAATAAAAACTTCAAAAAGAAAAATTGATATTCTAACAATACCACACAACGTTAACGTTGGCTCGTGCTACTCATGCCAGTTATGTAAGGTTTTGTAAGGTTAAGAAATGTCGGCATTTATTTTTATTGTTATTACATATTTATAACGCAATGTAAAATTATCATAACATAGAAAGATAATTTTACAATGTAATTGCATTACGAAGAATGAAAAACATAATTGTTTTGTTGTAATTCAACTTACCTCATTCAAAAATGAAGAGGATTTTATGTTTTTTGGCAACCGACAATCGATGGTCGTAACTTGTTTTCTCGTATTTACAAACGATGTAAGTTTATTTGAAATGGTACGAAAGCARAGCGACATTTTTAATTACTTATTTCAATATTTTTCYTACTCATACAATTCAATCGTAAATCGTATACGAAAACGTTTCATCAACGAACATTGAAACATAAGTGACGTTCTGACCTCGACATGTTATTCCAGAAACTACTAGTAACAACAAGGATATGCAGGGCTAGCAATCTTTCCGAATTGCCTAGGAAAGTTTACATTTAAAAATCAAACTAATTTGGAGAAATTAGAACCGTATTACTTATGGTAAGTTACCATCAGATTTTCTCCTTTAACTCCTTTAATAACTAATTAAATAAACAATTAATAAAGCGAACAATTACAGATTTTAAATGTGCAATTAATGTGCAATTAATGTGCAAATAAGAGCACTTATTCATTTTTTTCTGCTGTCAAGGTTCCTTGCCAGCGTTCCTACGGTAATATTTGAAGAAAATCAAATGAAGAGATGAACATTAAAAATCTTCATTTGCATTAAATTATATTACATTTATTAATAAGTTGTAACGTTTAGAATTATTTTGTTTTTCAAATATATATAGATATATTACATATGTTTAATCATATATAAACATAATGTGAGTAAAATTGTTCAGCAACCAATTCTTTACTAAATATTAAAATATTTTATTGTATATTTTCTTTTTTCCAACTTTTAAATAAAACATAATTTTGACACGGACAAATCACAGACACTTTTGTTTTGCAGCATTAATTGAACGATAATTATACAAATTTTTAAATATAAAAAGTAGTAAATAACAACATAAATTAAAATATATAAGTTAATAATAAAATTGTAACATTTTTGCTTGATAAAGAAATAGAATATTTATATAATCATGTTATGTTTACTTATTTAATATCAATGCATTATATTATTAAAATAAAAATGATTGAAAATAAAATTTGTTACGTGAATTATTCTTGAACTTTAAAAATAACTAGTTATTAATGACTGAGTCTGTACTATTTACAATCTTAACGATGATTTTTTATCTGCTTTTTAAATTTAATATGCATGAATTTAATTATTATTTAAACATTTCTTGACGTTTAAAGATTTCTTCTTTTTTGTCAATTGATGTATTATATTTTACATCAAGGTAATTTGTATTCATGCATAAAAACATGTTAGATTATTATGATACAAATAAAAAATACATATATATATATATATATATATATATATATGTGCATTGTTAGTACTATATCGCTTCATATGCAATATCAACTCCAATTCTCATGGGGGGACCATTTAGGAATTCTTCCAATTCATCGCGTCGTCTATTTTCATCTCTTGATCTATGAAGAGAACGTTTTTTCTTTTTTTCACTTTTATCATTCTTCTCTTTATCTTTTTCTTTATCTTTAGATTTCTTTTTCCTTCTTTTTTCTTTTTCATCTACCTACAATATCAATAATAAAGATAATTAAAGAAAATCAATTAAATTATATAAACCAAATAACTTGTATAATAGTTTACCTTTTCCTTATGTTTTTTCTTTTCTTTCATTATAGGACTGCTACCATTAGAACTTATATGTTGCATACTAATATTGTCAAGTAACTCTAAGTGAACATTAGAACTTGTAACACTAACATCTAAACTTTTATCACTTAATTCCAATTTATCTTTTCTTGTACTATTACAAGTTACATCTTCACCACCTTCCGGACTTTGTCGCCATTTAGAATCACATTGCAACCAACTATCAAATGCATCAGGATATATATCAGGCTGTTCATTAATTCTAATATTATTCGAAATGTGAATTTCTTGCTCTATAGATGAAATAGAATCACGTTTATTAATTTGACTTTGTGCTTCAGAATTCAATTCTGTATTATTTATTATTGATTCGCGTTTTAATTTTTGCTTATTTAATGGATTTTCTGCTAATTTTGGTTGTATGGGAGATGCCACTTCGTCAGCAGATGACAAATCATCTTCATATTCTGCTACCAAAGGATTTGCAGTTTCTACATCACTATTGAAAATGAAAAATATATTATAAATGTTCATATCAAAACAAAGGAATATGCATATGATAAAAGAACAAATTTACCTTTCTGAATTTAATTCTTCATGTTGTATTTTTTGAGGAGATACCTGATTATTGTCTTCTAAAAAAGATCTGTCTAAAGGTCCATCGTCTGGTACAAAGTCTTCAACACTGGTTAATGGCTTGTTCAAATTAAGAGCATTAGTGCTGGACATCTTCTCTGTTTCTCCTTCTTTTTTATTTCCAAAAATTTTAGACATTAATGATTGTGATTTTCCTGTACAATCTTTCCGTTCTAAATTATCATGTACAGATTCATTTACTTTATAATTATCTAGTTTAGAAGTACTTTGTGCACTAGATAAATTTGATATGGATTGTGTGTTTTTAATTGATACAATAGAACTATCTGAGGTATCTTTTATTAAATTTTCCTTTTTTGGTGGAGATTTTAATTCTATATTTTTTACAGGTATAGGAATCCCACCACCAATTGGGCCAGGCATTGATATTGACCGTCGTACTTCAGTACTTGAAGTTACAATACCATTAGAAGGTGCAATACGATGATTACTCAAAGATGAAGTGACATTGGGGACTAGAATACTTGCAGACACTGAATCAGCAAGAGCTCTTCTTCTGTTCACAAGATTGTCTAAAAATTTATTATAATCTGCATCATCACTGTCTTGGAAAAGATCAAGTTCTTGTACCGTCAAATGAGTTTCTTCTTCATTAGTCTCAAGCTGCTTCAATAAAGTTTCCCTTTGTAATTGAAGAAAAGGAAGATTAAAAAACTTATGTAAAAGTTTTAATCCAAAACCATTTCTCATTGATGATTCTGCATATCTTATCTATAAAAAAAAAAAAAGAATAAAATATCAAGCATTAATATATCATTTAATAAAAAAATGTGTAAAAATAAATTATTTACTTGTGCAGATGGTCTGTGCAATGAATCAATAAAGTATGTTATATGATCTGTTGTAACTGTTCTATGATGAGACATATCGCAATGATTGCCTAAAACTATAATAGGTATATGGCTAGGAATTTTTGGAAGTTCACGTTGAACATAATCAAATGTCCAAGTTTTGGTTATATCCATCATAATAATAACACCATTGGTCCCTTTATAAACATCAAGGAATTCTGCATCTAAAGCAGGCTCTTCAATAATGGTCTCAGTAGTAGAATTATCCATTTTTAAACCTTCCAATTTTCTTCTTCGTCTTCCACGATCCACAACATCCCATACTTCAACTTTTACTACATCATCCGTAGCCTTATAATTCCACTGAATACTAGCAACTTGTATTTCTTCAGTAGGTATATATTCTTCAACAAATTTTTGGCCTTGTAGTCTATGAAATAAACATGTTTTTCCTACATTTCTATCACCTTTTATGATGATCTTCACTAAAAATAATAAATATATTATTATATCAAATCATAAAAACTTAGAAAAAAAAGAGAGAAATTTATAATTTTACTATTATATTGTACTCCTTTAGCAAATTTTCTTTGTAACGTTGTTGGCATAGATTGATGGGCTGGTCTAGCTGATGCATTGCCAACTCCATCAGACTTCCCAGCTAATCTTTTGAAGGCAGAAAACATTTTCTTCTATTTTGATTATCTATTCGTCAAATATTATGGTCTTGTAAATTGACCAACTCTATAATGAATATCTGTACAAAAATATTATTTAAATATAATAATTAAATAAAACATGTGTTCAATTTAACGTTAAATTATATTTAATATCGCTTAATCCAAAGAAATATTAAATTACATATAAAAAAAACATTTAATAATGTTTTTAATGATTATTTTCACAATTTACACATGATATTTTTTTATAAACCTTATTACCATGAATCTCATTTATAAACTTTACCACATATTATAAATAGAACAAAATAAACAATAAAATATATATATATATATATATATATATATATAATTTCTTTCCACAGAACAAAACTCAAGCAGCTGTCAAGCTATCATAAACTGTTTCTCTTTCCTACCATAAACAACAAAAATCAAAGACTAAAGATTGTTAATTCATGGTACAATTATGTTCTTTCTGCAATGGTTAAACGCTTATATGCTGGAAATAGATGTGCTACCGATAGAGAGCGCACCGGCGTAATTGACCAATCATAATATGTTCAGTACCATCATTTCGATTTGTGCTGACCAATCACGCAGTGGACAATCGACCAATAAAAGCACAGTTTATGAGAGCTATACGAGCGGTAAAATACAAAATAAATCTACAGTCGATAAAAAAATTATTTGCAGATCCTAATTTCATTCGACTAAAGAGAATATAATAATATCTAATTCTCTAATAAATTATAAAAATTAATCTCTACCTAGATTATATACTAGTTTGTTATTTCTTCTCCTTCTTCTTCTTCTTTTTTATTAGGACTTCATCCTGTTATAGCTTTCATTGCTATTTTCTGGAGCGCTTTATTGTTTTTACCGAGGGTAGGTTGCTATCCTCACCCTCGAACCATCCTCCTTTTTCTGGGCTTGGGACACTTTGTTATTTGTTCATATAAAGTACTTTATTATTTAAAAAAATTAACAGATTATTATTACTAAATACTTTACTAAATAATTAGTGATTAAACCTATAAGTTTCTAACAGCATTCATGGCTTTGTATAAGAGAGGTTTCAAATTTTCTGTCATTAAAGTACTTCTTTCCCCGTGTGTTATTGTCAATAGAGAGTGCGCTTTTCTTAATGCATCATAAGCTAGCTTTGCTTTATTCAGATATAATTGAACTCTTCCTATCATAAGATATAATAATCCCGTTAAAGGATATCTTTCTCCATAATATAATCTGTAATGTAAAAAATAATTTTATATTTATATCAAAATAAATGTGTAAAATATTCATATAAAGATAAAATACTGACAAATATCCTGGTATAAGTCTTTGTCCGTATTCCTCTGCTTCTTCCCATGAAAATAAACGTACAGATGCGTCGAATGCTGCTTCTAAAGTACGTACATATTGGATATTTAATGCATGTAGAACACCTTCCTGTTTTCTTAGGCATATTTTACTCACATCAAGGTCTATTATTAGATAAGGAATTATAGCCTGTAATATATAAAATAAATTTCTGTACATTATGATTCAGAAGGATACAAGCCATATTTTTCATATCTTGTAAATGATGGGCAGAGAATTCCGTAACTTCGTCAAATGTTTCTTTAAAATTTGGCGGAAATTTCTCATTACATTTTTTACATTCTGTAGCATCGGAAGAATTTGGATATGTACAAGAAATTTTTGGACAAGCAGCAGCTCTTGCCGTTGGCTCTGGCTGAATGCATCTTTGGCAATCACACAAAAAATAGTATGAATTCTTTAATTCTTCACGTCTATCTTTAGTTGAACTGAGAATGTCGATATATGATATCTTTATCTGAACACAGAAATTTATATTAGAGTATATAGTATATAATTATTAGTAAGTAAGAAAGGATCATTGTAATCTTTATTTCTTTAATCAAATTAAAAATGATTATTATACCTGTGACCAATTTAAACATGGAAGATCTTCAAGTGTTCTTATAATAATTGTAGTTCCTTCAAATACAGCTACAGCATTAGGTTTGCAGCTGTGATCAATTACAGACGGTGCCAGATAAATGCCAGTTCCAATACTATTCATATCTAAATCTAATATATTAAAGGAATTGATACATATTCTACCATAAATACCCATTAACTCTGCAGAATTTGGTAATGGTATGTTTTGAAGAAATGCAAATAGAACTGCGCATAACGAAATAAAATGTTCCATTCGTTTGGCATCTTTTTTAATATCAGAGTAATCTATACAAAAGAAAAATCAGAATCTATTAATTATTGCATTAAATATTTTTTGCTTAAAAAGATTACTTACGAGACATAAGATCTTTAAATTTTCTATAATTTGTTTCAGAATAATATCCCATTTCGTCTCCTCCACCTCGATGAAGTTTTATAATTATACGAGCCATAAATCTTGCTGCATCGGGTATTGTTTTGGGTGATATTCTTTTTAAATTTGGACATTCTATTTTATGTATTGACCAAGCTTCCTTTTGACAATTACGATTGCAATAATATACGTATTGACAAACAGAACACTTGAAAAGTTTTCCACTGAGAAAAAATAATAATTAAAATTTATACAAATATGTCATAGTCTTGACACATAATGTTTTGTTTACTTTATATTATGCGACAATACTAGAAAAAGACATTAGGACCTAATTCTTATGTAAAAGTTATTTACTTTTTCAAACAATTATCGCATCGAGTAGTTCTTTGATTCGAACTTAGAACAAAAGAAAAAGGTTTGGTAGTTATAATTGTAGTGCCTTTTTTTAGAATATCTACATTTTCTTTCATTGTATGAAACATTTAGCACGTTTTATTTACAAAATGATTATAATCGTTATATCTCAAATGTTTGTTTTCTTTAATAGGTTTTCTAATACACAAGAGGAAAACATACACAAGGAATGCCGAAATTTACTACGTATACATAACCTCATATTTTTAAATCACTGAATTACAAACGTTTTTATACTGAAAGAGGTGGAAGGAAAAATAGAGGAAGTAACAAAGAAAAGACTAGGAGAGGAGATAGGGAAAATAAATAATATAATCGACAAACAGGTAAAGCTTGAGAAAAGAAATAACGTGGTAATATGAGGTGCAGATGTGGGGAAGGAAGACTGAAAAAGACAGGTAGATCTGCTGTTAATAAACAAATTTGGATTAGGAGAGAAGAGGAGGATTTAGTGGGCAAGAGTGATAGGAGGGGAGAGAAAGATAATCCTGACAGGTCTGGATAGCTGGGAGACAAAGCAAGAAGTAATGAAAAACAAAAGCAAACTCAAAGGAAGCTCGATATACATAGACAACGACCTGACAAGAAAAGAAAGAGACATCCAAGGAAACCTAGTTGAAATAGCAAAGGAGGAAGTGAAAAAAGGGAACAGGGTGAGAATAGGGTTTAGGAAATAGCAAAGGAGAAAGTGAGAATAGGGAACAGAGTAGAGATGAAGGATACGAGGGAAAAACTAAGCTGTATGAAAGCGGATGAAAAGGAGATATTAGAGAGTAAAAAGAATGAAAGGGTTGAAAGTTGGCTAAGGAGGATAGACAAGCAAAGGGGGAAGGTCAGTAAAGAACAAAACCAAAGAGTATCAATTAGAGGAAGTAGGATAAGGGAAAATGCAAGAAGTACTGTTATAGAGATTTATAGAGATAAGGAGGAGTATGATAGGTTAAGGAGTCTGTTAGGTTAAGGAATAAAGGGTAATGTTAAGGAACAAAATGTAATCCAAGTCATTCCACTTGGCTGTAAAGCTGGGAAAAATAAAGATTATATATATACAAACGTTTTTATTTAATAACAAATTATTCTACCATTATTTGTCACGTATGGAATGTTATGTTATATTTTGGATATAATTACGAAATAATAATAATAATAATGAAAAATCAAATTTATCAATTAACTATAATACATTACAAATATTTACAAAATGATAAACGTAGTACTTAATAGGAAAGATATAAATAAATCAAACTGTCAGCTCTTTAATCTTACCTTTCTAAACAGTAATCACACCTTTCGCTTCGAAATAAACTTTTTAAAATATGTGCAAACGGTTTAGACGTTAAAATCGTTACTCCCGCATTTATAAAATCTTGATTATATGCTTTTTTAATCCTCATTTTAAAGTAAAAGATTATAGTTTTTAAGCGTTAAATTAGACAGATTACTTTCGGCGAGCAAAAGCTTCTAATGTCTGCAACTCTAGATTTTCTTACCCCTTTAGACAGATAAAATTAACTTGAGTTATTTTAAGATTGGTTTATTTTAAAGCTAATATATTATTAGCAATAATAATGTCTGTTAACCTGATTCTTCAATTACATTTATAAGTACATATTTCTAATTGTATAAAAAATAAAAGTTAGTAAGAAAAATATACAATTGAATATTTTATTTACAATAACATAAAACTGTAATAAATTCTCAAAAAATAGGGTAACAATAAATTCAATTAATTCTTTTACAGACTTAAAATTAATATATTGCTTTGCAATTTCATGGAAGAATATATTGATATTATAATCATATACACTTGTATGTGCCATAGTTTAAAGACTGAGAGAAAAAAAGATTAAAAACACACAGAAAAAATATATTTTTCATAATAAACGCAGTGTCATATATACAATGCTATTATTTTTTTTTTTATATAAATTAGTCTTTTGCATGCCACTTTGTATTTGTTTTTGTTTAATTTTCAAACTCTGCTTTATGGACATAATATCATCTTTCAAAGTCCACTCTGCCTTCATATATATGGTATTATATTCATATGCGTAGTTGATTTTGAAATATGTTTTGACCATTTTGTCTATTTTAACTGAATAGTTTATATTACACTTTTTTTTTTGGAGCTGTTCATTCAGCATGCGATAATCCCATCTAAAGATCGATCGAACGTACGATGAAGTAGGAATGGGTGAAAGTTTGGCTTTACATGTGTGATAATGTAATGGTGTATTTGATGGTAGTTTATTAAACGTCTACCACTCTTTCTTGTGCTCATCCATTGATACACCCCCAGGACCCAAAGATACTAGCATTAAAAGGCCACCAATTACTGATAATGTCTGTAATTTAATATATATTTATTATTATTTAGAGAAATATGTAGATATTTTGAAAATACATATAAATATAATGAAATAACACTTTACCTGGAAAAAGTCATATTTAAGGAAGTCTCGTAATGGTTTATGATCTGGAATAGTCCACCATGCATTGTGATAAACATTCAATGCAGAAAGTACAAGTACCAAAAGTAAAGCACTAAGTTTAGTTTTATATCCAATAGTCACCAACAACATTAAAATGCTTCCCAAAATATCTTGTAAAATTTGAAGGAATGATACTTCAAAGCGAATTAAAGTTATAAACATGAATGCTAAAAGAATTCTTCCAGCAAGTTGTAATAAATTTTTAGGTTTATTATCACCAAGTGATGGAACTCCAGCAAATAATGATCTTCCTTCAACTCTGGATTCAGCCAAAACCAGAAGTAATGCACCTATGAGTGCTAAATTCCTGAACAGGAATTGCATATCAAATAAGATACTATAGGCAAATGTCTGTAAAACCAATATGAAAAATAGAACTCCACAAGCTATGTTGACTTTCCATCTTGCAATGACCATAACACATCCTCCAAGCTGTCCAATTAAATTAACAAAAACGAAGACATGAGCTAAAAATTTTCCACAACCCCAAGACATATCCATATATTCTTTCTGTTCGTTCCATTGAAACCACATTCGAAGTCCATCTTCCAAAAATGTAGATATAAGACACAATCGTGCAAGAGTTGGTAATATATGCTTCCCACTACGTATAACCTGTCATAACAAAAAAATAAAATAATAAAATTATCATTCCATTTAAAGATATAACAAACTTTAAATCAATTGTAATAGCCCAACAACATTTAATATATTTTTATTATAAAAATTATAAATTAATATAACATTAATCTTTCTCTCACATTACAGTAATATAGTTATAAAAATAAATTATTAATATTAATAAAGCATAATTATTTATAATATTCATAAAAATAAAACATTTAATTTCTGTATAAGATAAAATAAAATAAAATAAATTCTAGTAATTGAAGCAAATAAAATAAATCTTAAATAAACAAATATAGATTACATATACAATAGCAATATAATATATGATGATATGCATAATTTTGTTCTCTTAAAATTGCATTGAACAAATGTATATTATAAAGTTAAATATAATTTAATTTAAATTATTGTCAATAGATATTTTAAAATATGTTGATTATTTAAAATTTATATTGATGAATTGTTAAACAAATATATAATATAAATGAAACCATAAATTAATATTTTACTAAAATATAGACATACAACATCGAATGTACTCATAACCTTTAAACATTACAACTTGTCTACGATTTTAATTAATACTTTGCATTTGAAAACAATGTTTGATGATCTTTTTAGTCAAGAATAAAACGTATATATCAAAATATATATGGAAATATGTGAGCAAACATGTTATAATGGATACGATGACGTTGACAGGAGATACTTATATACCTGTGGGTGCTTGTACCGTCTTTTTTGAAATCTAATATACATTATGTTTTGTATATAATTAATTAAAAACAAATAACAACAAAATGAAAAATAATAATATTGATTATTTTACCTGATCTGCTATTTCTTCGGCTTTTGAAAGAACCTCCTGCGAGATCACCATCGTGTTTTATTCAAAAAGTAAAAAAGTGTGCACATACATACACACGTGTGCGCACACAAGACTACGAAGAGAAATGAGAAAGAGAAGGATAGAAATATAGAATAGAAAGAGAGAAAGATTGAGATAGGGTAAAGACGAGCACGCTGATCTCTATACTTTAACACGACTACAAACCACTGTACACGATACTCGGACTCCTCTCAATGATGTGGAGATTGAGTTAACGTCATTTCCGGCATACGTGGTCGAAAAATGTACGTATGATCAGAATCCATTACAGATTTAAAAGATTTAATTCGCCATTATTTACATACTGAAAATTATTACTATAAATATTAAATTACCATAAATGTAACCAAAGAGATAGCTATTAACACAATATAGTTATACATTTAACCCATAACTCCCGTTACATATTATAGATTTCTAATATACCGCGTTAAAGGGTAAGTGACGCTTTTAATGTCGATTTAATATTTTTTTTGTGAAGAAAAATGCACATATATATGTATAATAGTCTCTATCATACAATGCAAGTACAGAAAAATATATAGATATATTTTAACGTACTTATAATATCATATATTTATATACAAATGTATGTTTAATGTTCATGTTCTGATTAACGTAGTGATGCAAAAATTTTGAGGTTAAGTAGTGTCATTTGACTACAATTGTCAAAAAGAAATATATTTTTAACAAAAATTGTTTATTTGGATTTACTATATTATCAAGATTTTATTATGATGCAATTTTGACAAAATATATGCGTAATAATAATTATAATAAAATTGGAATAATATATCACATATCAAATTATATATATATATATATATGTATATGTATTAGCGTGAACAAATATATACAATTAATTTTGTAAGTATAATAATAGTAATATGCATTCTATTGCAATTCTACAATATTGATATTATTAAATTATTATCATATTTATACTAAACAAGAATAAGCTTAGATAGGAATAAAAATATATAAGCTATATAATAACTAATTAGTAATAGATATGAAATAAATTTTTAAGTAATTTTATCAAATTAATAATTGAATTTTGTAGACTTGAGGAAAAATTAAAACCGACATTATAAAAAAATGTTAGAAATAACTTGCAATGATCGATTAGGAAAAAAGGTTAGAGTGAAGTGTAATCCAGATGATACTATCGGTGATTTGAAGAAACTTATAGCAGCTCAAACAGGAACACATTGGGAAAAAATTGTATTAAAGAAATGGTACACTATCTTCAAAGACCATATTAAACTACAGGACTGTATCCTTCAATATTTTAAGTCATCTATATGAGCAATTCATAGGCCAAAACGATTAACTCTACGTGTAGAATTATTTTTTAATTTATTGTCAAAACACTTGTGTGATTGATGTTTAATTTTTTATATTTACAATAAATTCTTTCGGTAAGTACACCTAATGTCACCAAATGACCATTGAATAATAACTGAAATGGTGTATACAAATCCATCACCATTTTCTCTACTTTTTGTTTTATAGAACTAATCGATTTGGCAAATGAGCGAGTCATTATAGTTTTGTTATTAGCAACAACTCTTCTATTAATGCTTTCCTTAATCAAATGCTTCAGATGAAATACACGATGGCATGAATTTAGAGTTATATTATCAATAGTTGTGTACAGATTCGATATAAGTACTTATAATATTTTAATGTATTAATAATTATTATTTTCCACTTGTATTTAAATAAATTTTTTATTTCAAATAATATTAATATACGATGTAAATAATATTAATTTTTCAAATATAAGAGGAATGTAAGAATCCTTTAATATTAATGAAGTTAATTACGTATTTGTTATATTTGTTATGAGTACATAACAAAAAGTAAATTAACAAATTTGATAGGTATACAATTATATATATATATTTAAGATGTTTAAAAATATGTACGTATAACTTCAGGGATGGTTTTACTGTATTAATTACGTAAAAAAGTTCATATAATTATATTTATGATCTTGTATATATGGATGTACATATATTTATATATATAATATATGGAACTCCAAGCCCAATATAGTGCCACCTAGCGTTTAATAGATTAGAGCGACGTCGATCTACAAGTTCACGTAGTAGACAACTGCATATAATTTTTAAGTTTTTTTTTATCTAGCATCATGTAAATGCTATTAGAAAATGTTTCTGATATTAGCGAACAGCTTAGGCTTACTAAAGACATTTTAGTAATTTTGAAACTGATTCACGTGCGAGTAATGAAAACATAACCTTTCATTTTTAAATTTCTTTACGATTTGATGTACTTCGTACGATTCCTTATTAGAGATTAAATATCATAAACAAATATACACATTTACTTTTAAGAAAACGGAGATACCTTGCTTCACGATGTTGGAAAAATCTTCCGGAGGAGAAAATCAATTATCGAAAGAGGATTATTTAATAATGCGTGCTAAAGAAGCATTATCAAGTGACATTTATGCAGCAAAGTCCTGGCTGATCACCGCTAAATCATTATTTCCTCATAGTGCGAAAGTTCAGGTATTTAACGTATTTAAAATATTATTTTGTAAATAAATATTTATCATCATTTTTTGAAACAATTCTTTTAATGTAAAGATCATTGAAGTTGTAAAAATCATAAAGGCAATATATAATACATAAAAATCATTATATTATTCAGTTTGAAGCGTACCGAATAGAAAAGCTATCAAAAAACGTCAAGGAAGCTGCAAAATGTTTTAGTGAAATGTACGTGTGATACTAATAATTATTTAAAATTAATTTATATGAACTTGATGAAAATTAAACTTACATTTTTTTTTTTTTTTTTTTTTTGCATAAGAGCAGGTTTCAGAATTTTCCAGATGATCGAGATATTTGGAAAGAAATTAAAATAGTTGCAACTTGTTTACGTTCCGAACAATGTGATCCAGAGACAGAATTTTTATGTCAAATGTTTCAACATATCCCTCAAGATTTACAGCACCGTTTATTAGTTATGACAGCTGATCATAGTGAAGATACAATGGAACATTGTAAAATGTTACTTCTTTTAATACGTAAATTTCCTCAAACTACACCAACACATGGAGTCAGTAATTTGAGATAGAGTTTCTCTATACAGGGTGATAAAAAGAAGAGTTCGATATTTGTTAATTTACGCCAAAAAAATTGATTTTAGGACTCATATTAATTAGACATTCTTTACTCATTTCGATGAATACTACAAGCCTTTTAAATATCGAACTCTTTTCTTTTTATCACCCTGTATACATTATTACAAAGATACACATATTTATTTAAGATATTATTTATAATTTTTAGCCACGTTTGGTGGATATTCTACTCTCTGCAGAAAAACATAATCATCCGGGACGTGCTGTAAATTGTTATAGACGGTTATTAGCTTGTGATACATTACCATTACTTGGAGCTGCTCCTGTTGAACTGAACCCTCGTCTTGGATTAAGATTGCTCTGGAAAGCTGTGGAATTTTATTTAGCATATATACAGCATCCACAAGATATACAAATTCAATATCCATGGGATAGACTTTTCCATGTAGTCGAGTTAATCGGAAAAAAATTAGGATGGGAATTAAGCAATTTATTTTCCATGCCTTGGAATCGGGAAACATATAGCGAGAAACTACAACAGTATGCAGCTGTACATGCAGCTAATTTATGTGAAGAAGTTGTTGTACGACAATTATTAATGTGTGCAATTGTAGTATTATTAAGAATACTAAATGAACATGCAATGCTTATTAATAATGGGGAAACTATGAACTGCTTAGTAGAAGCTTTTGGAGAACTAATTTCTTCTCTTACTGGTATAACATTTTAATTTTATAAATAGTAGAGTTATAGCAAAAAAATATTATAGAAAAGTAACAAATATTCTTTTTTATATTTAGAGCCAAAATTAAAAAAACGAAAAAGGGAAGATAACTCAGGAATTGTTGTAACTAGTGATGGAGACTACAGTGGCAATGGTCTCGGTTTTGCTGTTAAACTGTGGGATTTATTGCACAGTAGTGATTATTTACAAATAGAGATAGATAAACTTAATCAACAGGCACGATTGGATGCATGGTTAAACCCATTTGCAACTGATTTAGCTATGTATAAAGGCTTGCATCATGAAGTGTTAACTAGATTATCTCAAGAAGGTTCCTCTTTGTCTACTCATCTGCGATTTGCTAGTACTTGCTTTTTTTTAAAAGATTATAAGGTATGTTGCCTTTTATATTATGCAAATGTTAAATATATATCAATATATTTATAACATAAATTAGTTATATATATAAAAATGTTATATAAAAATGGGATAAAAATTTTATTGAAACATTTTTTATAGGGTATGTTAGAATATATTGTTTTAGTGGCAAGCTCTTTACCTTCAGTATGCGGAAAAGTATCTCATAATTTAACCGTTCCATCAACGAGACATTTGCATTACCTATCCCTCGCACGTTACCCTGTTTTACAATATTGTTGCAGGTTACTTCTTTTAGCTATAAAGGTACCGTATAATCCGCTAAATATTATTATAATTGCTAGAAAACATTATTCTAAAATACAATTATTTCGTAACGATTTTAAACCTAAAGATTGTAGTTATTTAATTTGGCTTTTAAATGTTTATAATTTATATATTTCAGGAGAATTTTTCTATACCCGGAACTGTAGGAGATTTGGCTATTGGACATGCATTAGTTTTAATGCAGATTGATTGGCCGCAAGAAGCTAGCACATTATCTATAATTACTGAAAGAATTATTAATCGTGGATCTTTTGTATATCCATTATTTCAATCATATATTATATGCGTAGATATTTTAGAGGAATTAACGTACTTATGGACAGAACATGGTGGTGGTGTATCTTTAGATATCGCTACCGGTTCAGGAGTATTACAAAGTATGTATATTTCATTAAATTATTATTGTACAATAGTACAATATTCTTTTTATAGGCCGACGTATTACAACACGTGGTGCTGACAAAGGAGTCCGTGAAGAAGTGAAACAAGCTATGCGACGCCAAGCAGCTCGAGACGGTGTTGATCCATTAGACGAATTATTGCAAAAATTTATTGTCAATGAAAAGAGCGCAATTTTACATAGTTTAATTATACAGTAAACTATTATTTCACTTAATTCATTTCTGAAATAAGTAACATATACACATCTACAGTTATTTTTTTTTTTATCATAAGTATCTGTAAATAAGTGAATGTTAGATTTTTATAAATTATTTTATCGGGACTATAAAGCATGTACAGATTTACATATTTTCATATATATAATGTATTATTTAATTTCTTGGCTTCCCACGTTTTCTGTCAATTTATATAACAAAATAATTACAAAATACAGCTCAAATAAAAGTCCATATATGTGTATTAACGAGTAAATCATATTTATATTTTAAATACTTCCACTTGTATATAAACATTATCGTTTTCTTATTTAATTTTATTTATTAGAACAAATTTAAAACAATTAACGTAAGTGTAAACATTAATATTACAATAATTATTCTTCTTATTTCTTTCAATTTAAAGTAAGAAAGATGCTAGAAGAATATTTTTGTATACAAAAATAAGTTTTTATCTTCATTATTCAAAATCAACTTAAATATTGCTTATATACATTTCTTTTAAGTTAAAACCAATTAAGGAAATAATTTATATAAAAACAGTTATAAAATATCAATATACCTTTTTTTATGGTCTTTTAACTATTCATCAATATATTACAATAAAAAAGACAGGTTACAAGGTTGTATCGAAATTTTGATACAGTGACAGAAGAGTGAAAAATATAAACTCCATAAATTATATTTATACTATTACCTGTAAATGATGTAATAAAGAAATTGAAAAGATATATACTTTTTTCAATGTAGAATAAAATATATCTTTTCACAAAAGATGATAAAATAAACCTTTATAACGAGGATGTCTACCGTACATTTTTTAGTATATCATATTTTATCTAATGTAAACTCCTAACTGAAGGGCACTTTGAAGTAATACTTTGATACCAGGCATAAAAGAAGATATCTGACTAAAATCTGGACCTGATACTAGTTGCGTGTGTAAACTTAGACCACTAGAGTAATTTCCATTTTGTACCATCTCTGATATTTGATGTAATCCTTGAATGGTATTTTGTGATAACTAAAAAGTAATTTAAAAAATTGTAAATATAAAAGCAATTTATATGCATGAAATAGTATGATAATTTACGTACTCTATTTTCTCTGAGACAATCATATAGTATTTCCAATTTTTTAGATACATCTTCTATTTTTCTCTTAATTTGCTGAAATAAAAATAAAAAAAACAAATTAATTTGTAATATGTTATTATGTAATATAAAAGAATACATAATAAAATAATATTTAATTTAAATGAATTAGTATTTACCGGATTTGTAGCACTCTCAAAGCATCGCATTTTCAGTTCATCTAATACAGTTTTCAAATGAATATGTTCCTCAGGTATTGGTGGTTTTGTTTTCTCAGGTTCCATAGCTTTTGCTACTGTTACAGGTTGTGTAATATCAACAGGTTTATTATATTGAGTACTAGCACTTGGAATGTTATGAACATATTGTTGTGGATTATAAGGTGCCTGAGAATCATTGTAATAATTATCTTGTGGTAATATCTGTAATAATTTATAAGATATTGTAATTACTATAAGGAGAGAATAATAAATATGATATTTAATTTTTGCATATTTACATTAGGCTCAGGTTGTGGAATTGTATTTCGCAAAGGATGTAGTATTGGACTTTGAGGTTGAAATTCATATTTTGGCTGAAAAAATTATTAAGTTATAATTATATAATATATTATATAAATATTTATCTATACTATAATTTTTTATTATTTTAGCAAATATTGTCATAATACACAAATAACCATGAAGTATATAATACTAGTCTTTGTATAAAAAGCAGTTTATAGCAGCTAAAAATGAATTTTTATGTTACATATTAGTTATCTTAATATTCACACAAATGCTATTGTTAATCTAGGATAAGTAATGTCATTATATATCCATAATAATAGTTTTGAAAAGATCTATACATAATATGAAAGGCATATAAGAAATAAATAAAAATGGCAAAGAGGGGAGTGGCACTCTAAACGTTGAAAATTAACGAAACTACCTTTACATTTATATTCTTCAAATGTTTTGCTTTCCATTTCCGTGTACCAGCATGTTCCGCAAACATTTCACTTTTGTTGTGTAGTGCCAATATTGGCTATATCATTTAAATATATACATACATATATATATATGTTATCAGTCTTTATTTTAATAGCCATGCATTCATTTGACTTCGAGTACATGATATAATTACTCCTTATCATACTGATTAAATTGTTTCATAGAGAATAATAGATTAATATATAGTAAATTACCTGCGCTCTAGAACTTTTGGCCATTGGTGGGTCATTCCATCCAGATGATTGTGATATTGAATTATAACTATTTTCACTGTTGTATGCTGACATTTGGGAAATCGGTTCCGGATTGTATTGATTATATGCGTCTACTTGAGAAGAATTTTGAGACATAGACATCATACTAGATGATAACGGTGGTTTAAAAGATTCTGTTTCTTTTGACGGTATGTTCATGAAATTATGTGATTGACCTGGAAATGTGTTGCCAGGAACAGGTGCTTGTGGCTGATATGGATACTGTACGTTGTATCCTGGTACAGATCCAGTTTGTTGAGAAGAAAATGCTTGTGGTTGTTGAGTAAAAGGTTGTTGAAAAGCACTTTGACCATACGATGACGTAGACTTTACAGATGGATCTATAAGATATTTGGATCTCGATTGAGGTCCAACGCTAGACGGTCTTGAATTACTAGTAGTATTTGATCCAGATGTAGGAGGGGGCAGAGGAGGGGACTGTAAACTGCTTTGTTGTCCATATGGGCGTCCTGTTGGATATTGATCGTAATGCGTCGATTGTGTTTGAGTATGAGCAGAAGGTGTTACAAAAGATTGTGTTGATTGAATATTATACGGAGTTGATGTTGTTCCAAATGATTGTTTAATAGGAGTAGTATTCCAATTATAATTAGGAGATCCAGCAATTGTTGATGTAGTTTGTGATAATGAATTATATGTATTTTGAAAATTCTGATTTTGTAAAGGTCTATGAGTTTGTTCATTATAATTTTGTTTTATTGGCGCTTTCTCTATGGTTCTTTTGGACTCTTCAATATAACCTAAAGCTCTACCAAGCCTAAATCGTAAATTTGTGATCCTTTGTTCCTTGCTATTTTCAAGGTAAATCAGAGCTGTTTCAAGATTTCCTTCTGCCGCTAGCATTTCAGCATATTGAGCTAGAACATTAGCAATTTTACCTTCAATATCAGTTTTTCTAATACCTTGAAATTCTAAAGCTTTTTGCATTATTATAATCAATTCCACAATTTCTTGGACTTCAGCCCCAGATGTTTCTATTAATTTATTTAAATTACCAGAACAGATATAGCATATTTGAGCTTGTTTTTTTAAATCAGGATTTTCGCTAGATGCTAAACGATCTCCTAGCATGTCTAAAATATTAAATAATATATTATAATGACGCTTAATCACAATCTGAGAAAAAAAAGAATTTATCACTTACCACACAACGTTGATCGTTCTTGACCATGTGTAAATATACCTATTAATACTTCTTTCCAGCAATTTATATCAACATTTTTAACAATATCAGTCCAATTTTCACTAACTAATGAATTTATAATTGAATTAAGTGCCCCAGTATGTTCCGAGAAATATCTATATTGAGTTTTTGCTAATAATTCGGGTCCTCCAGTCATTGAAAGAATAACTGCATCTGCATATTTTTTACTTTTAAAACATAAAGATACAGCAGCTTCAATATTTCCCAAAAGAATTGCTTGTGCAATAAGTCCATCATCATCTATAATGAATAAAATGATAATTTAAATATCTAAAACTTGTTTACCTTTGGTAATAGATTACAAATTAATTTAATTATAATGTGAAGTATTTATTATGTAAATATCAAGATTTATTAAAATTACCATCAGAAATATTTATTTTGAAATTATTATTTGTAGACATTGCAGAAGCTGTAGATTTTTTCTGTTGTTCTTGAACAATAGCATCAAATACTGCACCTCCATCTATATTACCATTTGTTACCTATTACATTACAATTAAAATAGATTTAATTTGTATTATTTATTCTATGTAATATTTTGTAGGATTAATTGTAATTAAAGCTTACATTGTTAAGATTAGCAATACCTCCTGCAAGTGTATTTATTTCATCCTGAGGTACAAATTGATTTAATTTGTTATTCATTGCTTCTATATTATATCCTAATAAATCCAATATGTCTTTTGTGACATTATTGTTAAAATATGCTTTAACACAATTCCAAATTTTTTTAGTGTGTTCATCTGTTGCATTATCGATTTTTCCTTTACAATAATCGGCATACTGTTCACTCTTAAGGGTTTCTTCTAATTCATTTGATCTTTGAATGAGATCTGGTTGTGTAATTACTTGTGATATTAATACTTTTCTATTTGAATTCATAGGTAAATTTGGGTCTGCTGTTTCATTTTCAAAACTTATTAATTTACCACCGAACTAAAAAGGAGTAAAAAATTAATAATGGTATTAATAATTATAATTTAATTGAAAAAACAACTTATATATATATAAGTAATATATTCTTACACCAAATGAAGCTCCAAAAGGTTTCTTCAACCATTTTGGTGCTTTTGTCAAAATTGCAATTGATTCTGTTTGAACTGTAGGATGGGGTTGTGTAAAAGGATCCATCCCAGGAAATGAATCAACAATTTTGTTCGATGTTTCACTAGATACTTCTTGTTTTCCACCGAGTAAAGAATATATAGCTGCATGCCCATCGAAACTAGTTCCAACAATTAAACCTGGATGTCGTGGACACCATGAGACATCAAAGTTCCATTGATTTGTTTGTGTTAATTCACATATTACTTCTCCATTCTAAATTTATAAATAATTTGTCATTGTTAATTATAATTAAAATACATAATCTTCTTAAAAGTAAATCTTATATACCGGTTCATTTGAATTTGGATTCCAACATAAAATTCTATTATCTTTTGCGCTACTTAAAAGAAGATCTGGATCATGAGGGTTCCATGCTATTGAAAGAACACCTCGTTGATGATTCTGTAATGTCTTTAAAGGTGATGTGGCAAATCTTAAATCCCATAATTCAATAACAGGAGCTTGATCATCTTCCGATGCTAAGCATAATTGTGTCGCAACATTTGGATGCCATTGAACTACTTTCCATCGTACCTTCAGGCATGAAATTATAATTATTCTGTGAATATTGTTTTTAATCAGTATTTGTTTCTATAAAAAATAAAAAATATGCTACCTTTGAATTGGCATCTGTTAGTTTGATTATTGGTTCATTTTTTCTTAAATCCCATATAACACAACGTTGTAAAAATGTGGAGGCAAGAATATGTTGTACTAGAAAGTATAACAAATATTTTTTGCTATTAATTTGCACACACACACACACATTATACAATATATAATAATATTTTAATTTATTCTGAATTATATATTATAGAATAATAACCTTGTTTGTTCCATGCAATATATTGAACATCTTCTAACGGTTGACTTTCAGATCCAGGTTTCATTGGAGTGTTAATATTTACTACATCCCATATATAAATTTGGCTGTCAGCTGCACCGGTTGCTAATAAATTTGCTTGAAAGGGATTAAAATCCATTGCCCTTACTCGACCTGTATGTCTATCCGGACTACTTATTAAACAATTGTTTTCATTGTTTAACATTTTAGAAGCTGAATAGATTTGTATTGCACCATAATCGCAACCACCAACAATTATACCTGCCGGGTTATTACCATATGCTCCCCAAATTATTTTATGATATCTGTTAAAAATTTATAAATTTATTAAATAATATATTTTTTAATATCTAAAGTAAGATACAAAGAAGAAAAATAATTAAAACCTGTGATCACTGGCCACGCTGGCCTTCAATTCCATTTCATATCCTGGCTGTTGTAAATTAATTGAATACAAATCAAGACTAGCAGAAGTATTAAAACTAGCATCCAGCTGTTGAGCTGCAGTTCCAGCAGCTAATAAGATTGGATATTGGGCAGGCGGAGACCATGCCACATTGACAGTTTTTAATAACTCCTTAACCTTCATCTTTGATATCTTATAACATAAATGATACAAAAATAATAAACATAATATATAAAAGTATAAGACAATACATATAATAGATAAATGATTATATACATAACATATCATTAATGAACTTATTAAAATTTAATTATAATAAACTAATGTTTTACATATTAAATTCTTTTTAGTATTTTTATTGATATAATTAATTTAATATAGTATACGATATTTATAATGAATTTTTAAAAACTGTTCACTATTTACTATAAATAGAAATATAATAGCTTATTAAAAAGTTTCAGCATATTAAAATACGTCATACATTTAATTTTTAATTGTATTTTCTCTCGTTAACTGGAACTGTCAACAATCCTTATGCACAAATATATGCATGAGATTTTCGATATAATTTGCTTTTTTTAATTATAATATCATTATGTAAACATTAAAATTTTATTTTAATAAATTTTATTGAAGTTTTTCTTTAAGTAAAGTTCAGCGACCTATTACATTCAGTTCTGTCATACCTCTCAATGTAAAATACTTTTTTGCAATAATATATTCATTTAACAATAATATGATTTATTATTTCTTACCTTAATATAATCGAGTGAAGAAAAGTATTCTAAGATTGATATAAAACAGTTTTAGTTATGTCAAGCAGATTGCTATCAGCCGTTAACTCTTCCAACGTGGCGAACTGCATACATAAACAAGTGCTGACATCTATTATTATTTCTACTATCTATTATTATCATGGTTAGTAAAATAATATTTGTTTATTTCAATATGAGAACTTAAAAAGTCAAAGAATAATACGAGATCAGGTTTATATTACAAAAAAATACAGAGCAACATAGAAGCTCACAAGTCTACTTTTCGCGTAACCGCATTCATTGCAGTTACTAACCTGAAAATAAGTGGGCGATAGCAGGTACTTAACGCGATGACGGTACAACACAAACTATCAAAGAATACAGAATTCTTTGATAATATATGATATACGGTAAAAGAATTTTAAATAAAAATTATACTTCATTTTTAGTGTATAAACATGTGTGTGCCTTCAGAAATGCATATATACAATTATTTAAAAATGCAGTCATTTAAAAAAACTCTAGTAAAAGTCAATCAAACAAGGTTGATGTTTATTCCAACGATGATCACTTGTAACAAAAAGCAAACTATGTTAATCATAAAATCAAGTGATAGAATAGCCTGAAATATAAATCGTCCAATTGGTAGATGCACTTTTCAATTGAATTCTATATTTACTTTAGATCAAATCTTTATTTACCGTTGCAAGAGAATTAAATTTACAAGCGCGATTTTAGATTATAATATGTAATAATAAAGAAATAGGAAAAGTACAAATATTAAATTATTAAAAAAAATAATATATATTAATTATTATGAAATACTTTTAAACTGTATGTGAATTATATAGAAAAGAAAAATTAAAAATTTAATAAAATAAGATTACAGTGAAAAATCTTAAAGACAAAACAAGAAAAGAAAAACTACTGTAATATTTAACGAACGTTATTTAAGTTTAAAAAGTTAATAATACGAAAATTTAAATATTTCTGACTCTAACTATAGACATATGCATCTTTTTGACGATTTTGAGGGACATAAATTTGGTGTCCCAAGGAGATGGAATTGTCCATCATCTCCAATTACAACTACAAATTAATGACGAGCAAAACAATAATATAATAAAATATAAAATATGACTAGAGAGCTATTCTCGAAAAGTTCAAACTTGCTGTTGAACCTTTGAAAATAACTCAATAGTTCAATAGTAGTTGCCCACTTGATACCACAAATTTGTGGGGGCCTCTTCGGCATAATGCCTCTTCTTTCTTCATGCCCTAAACGCTGCTGTGAGGCTTTTTCTAAGCGCATTTTATAATACATTTGCTGAACAATCGCAGCTCAAAGAAATCCACAAATCATTTACTCGAATGCCTCAACAGATGTTTGATCTAATCGATGAACCTATTATTAAACCCTTTGCATTTAAAAGATTAAATAATATCAAACAAAAGCAGAAACTTTGTCATACATCTTATGGTCTTCCTTTTTTACTCGACCATTTTTATCTTTTATCTTTACTTTACTTTGTATTTACTATGCATATATAACAAATAAAGTATTTTCAGTAGGAATTACTAAAGAGCAAAGCGTTAATATACTTAATATTAAGTAAGTATCCAACGTATTCAGCTATTAATAATCAATATTCTTGTCCCAACAGTATATTAATATATATGAGTTTCAAAGGGAAAATTGAAGACAGTTAATAAATTTTGATGAACAAATTTATTTGATCTTGTTGAACGTTTCGTCCCTTACTGGGGACTTCCTCAGCAACTCGATCACCTAGTTCACGCGTCAATACATATTATTTTAGAGTCATACATTATAATAAATTAATTAATCCTAAACAACCTTACTTCGTCACATGTAATCATATACTCATATATTAGTGTATTAAAAGCTGAAAATCCTGATCTAAAAAAATATAATTAACATACATAAATACATAATCATATATGATTACATGTGACGAAGTAAGGTTGTTTAGGATTAATTAATTTATTATAATGTATGACTCTAAAATAATATGTATTGACGCGTGAACTAGGTGATCGAGTTGCTGAGGAAGTCCCCAGTAAGGGACGAAACGTTCAACAAGATCAAATAAATTTGTTCATCAAAATTTATTAACTGTCTTCAATTTTCCCTTTGAAACTCATATGTATTCAGCTATCTTCACTTTTTCTTAAAAAAATTAATTTTTAAGAAAACGCAAAGACTTTGGAATCGTTCGATACTAATTTATATCTCGCGGTACAGAATATCAGCAATATATGAGAAAAATAAAAGAAATATTTAAATGACAAATGAATCTAAAGGTTGCTGAAACTTAGTATAATATTCGGAGAAGAAATTTTCCACTCCTGAGTGGAAATTACAATCGCGTGACTTCTCCGCTCTCTATCTACTTAAAAATTAAATAAACATTCACACCTAAGTATGCTACCTGCCTGCCAATTACCCATATTTAAAAAGAGCAAATACACATACATACCCACCCACTC